ACCCCCCCCCCCACCCCCCCCCCTCTCTCTCTCTCTGGATGGCACGAACCCTATCCTACACACAGGCTTTACGATACAAATATAATATATATATAAATTTGTACATATATCTTTAAAAACAAAATCTGGCCACCGCAATTTGCCATCAGTGAATGACGAAGTCCTGGGAGTCTTGTTGACCCAGCTGTCCAAGGGAACGTGGGGTGTTAGTCTGACCATTCAATGGTCGGCGACGGTGCTGCTCTGCCAATGTTTGTTTTGAATAAACTGGGCAGAACTCTGGTCACCGCCGTCGTCTGCCAGTTGTTGACCCTGGTAAAACTTTCATGGAAATGCCCCCCGAAAAGAATTCGCCAGCTCAAAGCTTTTATATGTTTTGAATTTATTCAAAATTTTTTTTCGACGGGTTAGCAGCGATGCAGCCACACAAGGAATATCCCACAGTAACAAATATTAAAAGTAATATGTACCTCAGTGTCTGGTACGAAATGAGCAAATATAAGACCTAGTTTAAACTCAGTGTCTGGTACGAAATGAGCAAAAATAAGACCTAGTGTATAACTCAGTGTCTGGTACGAAATGAGCAAATATAAGACCTAGTGTATAACTCAGTGTCTGGTACGAAATGAGCAAATATAAGACCTAGTGTATAAATCAGTGTCTGGTACGAAATGAGCAAATATAAGACCTAGTGTATAACTCAGTGCCTGGTACGAATTAAGCAATTATAAGACCTAGGGTATAACTCAGTGTCTGGTACGAAATGAGCAAAAATAAGACCTAGTGTATAACTTAGTGTCTGGTACGAAATGAGCAAATATAAGACCTAGTGTATAACTCAGTGTCTGGTACGAAATGAGCAAATATAAGTCCTAGTGTATAACTCAGAGTCTGGTACGAAATTAGCAAATATAAGACCTAGTGTATAAATCAGTGTCCGGTACGAAATGAGCAAATATAAGACCTAGTGTATAACTCAGTGTCTGGTACGAAATGAGCAAATATAAGACCTAGTATATAACTCAGTGTCTGGTACGAAATGAGCGAATATAAGACCTAGGGTATAACTCAGTGTCTGGTACGAAATTAGCAAATATAAGACCTAGTGTATAACTCAGTGTCTGGTACGAAATGAGCAAAAATAAGACCTAGTGTATAACTCAGTGTCTGGTACGAAATGAGCAAATATAAGACCTAGTGTATAACTCAGTGTCTGGTACGAAATGAGCAAATATAAGACCTAGTGTATAAATCAGTGTCTGGTACGAAATGAGCAAATATAAGACCTAGTGTATAACTCAGTGTCTGGTACGAAATGAGCAAATATAAGACCTAGTGTATAACTCAGTGTCTGGTACGAAATGAGCAAGTATAAGACCTAGGGTATAACTCAGTGTCTGGTACGAAATGAGCAAATATAAGACCTAGTGTATAACTCAGTGTCTGGTACGAATTAAGCACTTATGAGACCTAGTGTATAACTCAGTGTCTGGTAGAAAATGAACATATTTAAGACTTAGCATATTTCACTATGTCTGGTACGAATTGAACAAAAGAAGAAATAACTCATGTCGTTTGTTGACTGTTTTCCTCTGCAGTCTGACACGAGGTACAACAGACTAAACTAGTACAAACTATGACACAACAGAATGCACAAACTATGGTACAAGAGAATGTACAAACTTTGGTACAGCGGAATACACTAGCACAAGCTATGGCATAAAAGAATACACTAGTACAATCTATGGTACAACAGAATACACCAGCACAAGCTATGGTGCAGCAGAATACACTAGTACAAACTACTGTTGAGAAGTAACAGCTCGTACTGGAAACTCGTGTTGACTGGCACAAGCCCAGGTAGAGGAGCAGAAGCAATTCAAATTTGGTAAATACTTATTAAACGTGACATTCCCTTTAGAGTTCAAATCACGTCATATAGTTCATGTTTCTTTCTTCTTGTTATTATTGGAATTAGAGTGTTTTTTTATTTAAAAAAAACAAACAAACCAATTTTGTTTGGGCAATATTGCCAAGTAGATTAGAAATATTGATCCCTCTAAGTCTCTACATCTGCCTGTGCCGCTAATTGATTTGAGGCATACACCAACGCCCAGATCTCAATTCGTTTCCGGCAAAGAGATGAGTGTACGGCCTAGGGTAAGCAGTTCAAAATACTCTCGGGCTAGTTTGGCCAAAAAAAAACAACAACTTTGTTCAATTAACAATTGAGGAGCGCAAACCATAATTATATTTGAACCGTAAAATAAGATATGTTTTAGCAAAGACTGAGGATTTGCCCACTAATTATCGATGATCTTAAAAAAAAATCGTTA